GTCAGGTTCTGTCTTTATTGCCCTGTTACCACTGACTTTATACCATTTGATCCTATAAGCAGGCGTCTCTAGTCACATCATGGGATGTTTTGTCTCCTCCTTGGACCTTTTACAGTTTCTTTTTTTATGTTTACAGTTTCTTACCTGACCTTTGCTAAAATCTTATTTCTATTTAGCTCTGCTGGCTCTAATCTTATCTATGGTCTATGTTTCTACATTCTATTCTAAAGGTTAGTCTCTGTGTTCCATGATAAGGGCTAGTTTGTTATTTCTATTCTAAGGTTACTATTCCATTGCTCCACTGTGAAGCTATAAGGAAAACACGGAAGGAGGTTTCCTATTCTGTGGCCTAAGCCAAGGTTCTGTAGCTTAAGCGTGATTGTTGTTGGCTGTGGTGATGAACTACATGCCTGGCACTTAGCTGAAGTCTGCTTGCATAGCTCGCCTAAGATTTTTAGATAAGGAGCTGCCTGCATTGTTTGCAGCGGTATTTCTTTAGCTGTTTGATGGTTGTCCTTTTAGCCTTGCTGGTGGTCTTCCCTGGGACTGCCCTGCGTCGGTGGGTCTTTGGGGGTCTAGGCTTTGGTACTTTCTCTGGTGGGTAGACCCCTGGGGATGTGGGCCTAGCACAGTGATGGCGAACCTATGGCACCCGTGTCAGAGGTGACACGCGAACTCATTTATTGGTTGATTTTTCTTTTTTAAATGGCATTTAAATATATAAAATAAATATCAAAAATATAAATCTTTGTTTTACTATGGTTGCAAATATCAAAAAATTTCTATATGTGACACGGCACCAGAGTTAAGTTAGGGTTTTTCAAAATGCTGACACGCCGAGCTCAAAAGGTTCGCCATCACTGGCCTAGCAAGTCCTAAATTTATTGTCAACAGTCTCAGTCTGAGTTCATCGTAAGTGGTACACTGTATTTCTGTAATACTAGGGGGTTTTATTGATTTATTCCCTTCCCTAGTCCTGTTAACCCCTAACTCTAGGGCAGTGATGGCGAACCTTTTGAGCTCGGCGTGCCAGCATTTTGAAAAACCCTAACTTAACCACTGGGTCTGTGTGTGGGTGGAGCGGGTCCCTGAGGGGTGGGGGCGGCTGGGGACTGTTGGGAGCTGCTGCCTCTGGCCTTCGGGCTGCGCTCAGAGGCGACACCCTCCATCCGGCAGGGCGCACAGGTCTCACTGTGGAAGCCACACCTTCCCGGCGGGAACGGAGCAGCTCCGTCGTGGTGACCGCGGTCACAAGCACACAGGGCGCCCGGCAGCTTCGGGACCTGCAGCCTCCACCGGCCGGGCCTCTTGGACAGGCCGCTCCTCTGGGGGGCGAAGCAGGACCCCGGCTCCCACCTGTGGCACTGGCGCCACTGCTGAGCTGCTGCCTCTGGCCGCCGGGCTGTGCTCAGAGTTGACACCATGTTGGCAGCTCCGCTTCACTGGGACCCTGGGCAGTATGAAGAGGTGCCCCCCACCCCCTCCAGACCTACCCCACCGACAAGGAGCGGGGACCCTCGTCCCCACGGAGGCCGGGCACTGGTCCAGGCGCCCTGGAGCTGATGGTGACTCGGCTGCCCAACCTCGCACCCTCTGACCCGGGAGGAGGCCCTGTGCCGGCCGAGGGGGCTGGGCAGGTGGCCTTGGACGTGAATGCGTGGAACCATGTGGGGTCCCTGGGGCTCAGGCACAGGGAGTGGGAAGAGGGGAGCTGGGCTGTGAGTCCCGCCCGTGGACTCAGGACCCGTCCCCACACCCCATCCGCGGCCGAGCAGCCCTTGTCCGAGGAGCCTGCTGGTGGCCACGGAGGGACGGAGCTGGGAGCCAGAGTGCGGTCAGCGGGGCCCTGTCCCTGGGACGTCGGTGCTTTGAGGTCTTCCCAGCGCCCAGGGCAGGGGATCGCATCGCAGGCCTCTGAGGGCGGGCGGTCGTGGGGGCAACTCGGGGCGATTTGGCACCAACAAGAGCCACAGCCAGAACCCAAGGCATAAAGTGAGACCCAGGAGGCCGCCGGGACTCACATGAACGGCGAGGGGGGCGCCTCCTCCAGGACAGAGAGGGACCTGCATGGCCCTGGGCCTCCCACCCCCACGGCTCAGGCGGGGTCACCAGTGGGTGAGACTCACCAGAAACAGAATCTGAGCTCCTCTCAACGCAAACTGTTCCCCCAACAAAATGCTTTTTAGGTGACGCTTCAGTGTGTGCGGCTCATTCTCAGGTCATAGTCTCTCATCAAACCGCACACATCGCGGCAGAATTGATCAGCACAGAATTTATAGCTTTTCCTGCACAGCCACTGAGATGGTCCCCAAGCCTCTGGCAGTGAGAGGAGACCTTAGGGTGAAATGCTCAGAGCGGCCGCGAGGGCTCTTCAGGATCTGGGAAGGGGCTGCACATAAAGGAATAACACCAGGCGGGAAAGATAAATCTGGGGGGCATTTGGGGAGCCAGGCGGGGACTTAGCTCTCGGGACTAAGCTCCCGGAATCTGGGGACCCGGGGCTTTTTATTCACTGGAAAACGCATTGGCCTTCAGAACAGCAAATATACACGTCAAAGGTAGGGCTTGGTCAACAGTGAAAGGTTCGGGGAATGGCCTCCGGTATCCCTCCAGCAGGAAATAATATGTAGGTTTCCAGTTCTGCTGAACATAGATGCCCTTCTGAGAAGTTCTCGCTTTTGTTGACTGAGAGCAGAAGTCAGGCAGCCTGTGACATCAGAGTGTGATTCCAGCCCCAACCGAAGGCAGTTTGAGGCCACATGTGTGGGTGATGGTGTATAACCGCTTCTACAGGGCCACCGGGTGCCAGGGCCACACAACGGCCCCCCATACAGAGCCGAGACCGCCGCCCCTGGTCCGTCCCCACATGACGCTGGCGGTGCTGTCTGTTCCCTGCGCTGAGCTCACCTCCCGGCCCCCCTTCATTTCACAGGGGGCGTCTGTCTTTCTCTCTTCATTTTCTCTGTAAATCCTCACCCGAGGGTTTAGGGGGCGTGGGAGGGAGGGGAGAGGAGGAGAGAGAAACAGGGGGAGAGAGGCCTGGAGGGGCCGCCTCCTGCACGCACCCGGCGGGGGTGGGATCGCCTGCACCCAGGTGGGTGCCCGGGGTCAGGGTGACGCGCTCACCACTGAGCCACAGGCCAGGGCGCA